TTTGAAATAAAATTTCTCTCGTCATATTTTGAGCAGCAGTTTTTAAATTAGAAATTACTGTTTTTTGAACTTAAGGCAATTATCTCCTGTATATGCCATATAAATAATAAATGGAATAATTCTTGGGTTGCATAATATTACTGACTGTGAAACTTCAGTTTTGTACACATTTTAAGAAAGGTATTAATTCAAATTTCTGCATTTAAAAGAAACAAATACGTACTGGGTAACAAGTTCCTTGTTAGTTTACTTCAAGAAAGACCTTCATAAGAACTTGCATCTGTATATATCTGCATCTGTGGTGCATCTTCAAGATATTGAAAACTACTTTATAACAAATGGATTACTTTTGAACTGCAGTTATGCAGACAGCCAAATCTGACATGGCAAATGACACAACAACTAAACCTTATGTTAGTTGTGGAATGTGAGAAACCTCTGACCTCTTTAATGTGGGATCTTTTGAGTAATGTTGTGCCACACAGTCTGCTTAGCCTGTATATCTGGCAAAGGACTGTGAGTTGACTCTTAATCAATAAATATCATTTTATATTACTATTATAACACAATTAATACTATAATAATGACTATGCTACAACTAACAATTAACGCTATAAATCTGACAATTAATACTGTAAATCTAAGTCCGTATCTTGTACTTTAACTTAACTTGGAATGATCAAACATCACCAGACTAGACCTTGGCCTTGATCTACGTGGTGATGGTCATCTGATCTTCCTGTCTGTGATCCCAGGATGCCTCTTATGGTGGTTGGTCTTGAGTTACTGCTCCCAAGGGTGCTGTTGCGGTGATTGTTATCCTTGGAAGCTTCCATACCCCTTTGGGAGGATCTTCAAATCTTACCAATGGATCGATCAGGAATTGATCCCCCTAATTGACTGGACCCAGACAGGCAGTGGGGTAGTCTTTGGTCCTCCATTTCTGAAAGTGTCAGGGACACGTAAGTCATGTAGACTTCCCAGATAAGAGTGTGCGGTATCCCTTTGTTCCGGAAAAGCTCGATGTTTCTTATTGTCCTGGTAAATAGGCTCAGGGGTTATGTATTGTGCTGTCTGCAGCTGCAGCCTGCCTGTCTGGGTCTGCAGCTTGTTTATTTCAGAATCTTTGCACAGATACTTTGGCCAATGCTTGGCTTGATTTCCCAGCATGCTTGGTGTATTATCAGATTCTCCCATTTTGAGTGGCCTGTCCAGTTACAGTAAGCACGCAGTACTTCATCTGACATACTGCACTTCTGACGCTGCAGAACTTCTGTACTTCAAGTGAATTATTAGTTAAAATTATTTGTTCAGCTCTTGAGGTTTGAATTTACAACTGGAAGAAACAGTGCTAACAACTGATTGAAACTTAATACCGTATTTACAACCATGAATAGATTGTTCAATGCTTCGCACTAAAATAATATATCTGGCTTCCTAGAATTTCTTTTACACCACTGGTTTATCCAACATTTGGATTTTTGTTTCTGTGGTTATATTATAATTTTATTTCAAAGTCAAAGACTTAGATTTATGTAGAGCTTTACTGACCACTGGCTCTAAAACACATAGCCAATGTCTTCAATCTTTCTGCAGTTCATCATGCTGTGGGACACATGCAGCCAATTAGCACATTGCTAGCTCTCACAAACAGCAATGCCACAATGACCAGATAATGTGGTTTTGTGGTACTAATTGAGGGACAAATATAGATCGGAATACCATGGATAGCTCCCCAACTTTTCTTCAAACTAATGCTCTGGGATCTCTGCATCTACCTAAGAGGGTGGTTTAGTGTCTTATCCAGAAGGTAAGAATGGGACTCTAACCTTAAAAGTGTGAATGAAGTCATGTTTTTATTGTTTATAGGAGGACTACAAAAACATTTCAACCATGTTTAACAAACATAAATTTCCAGTCAATTCCCATTTAGGATGGTGAATCAATATTTTCATTAAAAATTCCTTAAATTTCTTGCCCAAGGTCAGATCCCAAAATGTGTAGGCACAATATATCCGCAATGTCAGTGTGGTATTTTGCCCTGTACTGACCTTGCAATAGTGTGTGTACTTTTTTTGCAACTGACTTTTTGCAGAAAGTAAAGAAACCTCACAATTTGTTTTGAAGGAGCCTGTTTTTGTATGGGCTACATATCTGAAATAATAAGCTGGTGTGACTGACTGCATGTTTATCGTGTAACAATTCTAGCGGCTTTACCTAGTGTTATTAAACTCAATACTTAACTGGTCTTAAAATCCTAACTTTCTAAAACTGTAAACCTGAGTTATTGAGTGACATGCAGCTGTAGGCAGGAACGTATGCTGCAAAACTGACCATAACGTGCACTCGAGTAAGCATGGGCTGTACTATAGCATACGTTAATTGTTGCATTCATTCTGTTTCACTTGTCGCTTGTAAATGTATAGCCATATAAATCTGCTTAACATGGATCCTGTTTATTGTCAATAATGGATAGAAGTAACATTGTGTATGGAATTGAATGTGCAAATGCAAACATCTTGCACCCATAGGGAAAGCCATTCTGCATGAGGCTGTTTTTCTTTTTTTAAAAAAAAAAGCTATCCACTTAATTATCTGTCTCCCCACCCCTCCTCGCACCCCAACCATTTTTCTTTCCCCACAGGCCTATATTGCATTGACTATGCAATGTAATAACAATGTGACTTCCTCTTGTTATTTGGGGAAAAGTCAACCTCACTCTGTTGTAGCATATGCACTTATTAAAAGGTAAACAATCTTGAGATTTTAGAGCCTCCTGTGGAACAGGTAAGAACATCAGCCTATCACCCATCGATTTTGCTGGAGTTGGGAACTTGGTTTTAATGACTGTTATTGTGGAGATATTGAACTTGTGGACCCTAACTTGTCATCCATTTAGACAAACCACCAAAAGGGGATTTTAAAATGCTGTAAATAATTGGAGGCTTACGCTTTCAGTTTTTACTTTCCGTAACTATTGCACAAAATAACATTGCAAGCTTACTAGATTTTTAAAAAATTATTTTAAGCAACATGGTCTTTTACTCTTTTCAAAAAATCTATGTTTTAAGTAATTTGTTTGAGAAAATTTGTTTATTAAAAGTGATTGTATTATTAAACTAGAAAGTGAAAACAAACTCTTAAAGTTTTAAAGATAACAGAGTGGAGCTGGAGGAACACAGCAGTTCCTCTAGCTCCACACTGTTATCTCTGACTCCAGCATCTGCGGTTCTTACTATCTCTCTTAAAGTTTTAATCCCACATGGACAATCATTTAAGCAATTTTGACTATATAAAAACTGTAGAAAGTGATAACAGCCACAAATAACTATTAAAGCTGGCACTTCTGTGTTCATCAGAAAGCTGTGGGATAGTGTTTCAAAAATGTACTGCCTAGAATCTGCAATTGGAAAGATAGCATAATAAAATCTTTTAAGAATACTGATGAGTTACAATTTTTTTTAAACAGTCCTTGGACTATTCAGCTGGGCCAGCTTTTATGGAATGCTTGGGGTGTAGGTCATTCGCAAGTACAATGATGTGACATATAACAGCAGACATGCTACATCATGGCCATAAATTGCAAGTTTAAGATGGCAAATTTGCAGAATGTTTGTGTTGAAGAACTGAAGTATTTCACACTTTGAGCAGATGGTCCTCTGAAATGAGACTGAGTGAAATCACATAGGGGCAGATGAAACTTGCATTGAAGAAGCCTGTCATATGAGACCTACCTGCCAGATAGCACTGAGAAAGGAGATTTGAGAAATCGGGCCCTATGTTCCAGTATGAGCCAGAGCATTTGAGCTTTAAATTATCTGGAAACCTTGTTGTGGGTGATTGTTTTATGTAGACTAAAATAATGGCAGATCCAAGAGTGGAGGTAAGAAAATGCTGTTGGAATTACCTAACAAAAAACTTTATTAATTAATTTGATTCCTGCTTAGAATATTTGGGTTCCATTAGGCTTAGCTCTAAATATTTTGGTTTTCAAAATGATGGTGCTTAAATACTATTTCTGTATTTCTACAGATTCCAGTTCAATTTGTAACAACAAGGATTTCACATCCTTGGTTTGGTTTTAGGGAACTCTTTTCATCCTTAGTTAAAAGCAAAATCAGCAGGAGAATGAGTAATTAATAAAATGTACAGTCTTTCTTAAAATAAAAGGAACATGATAACCAGCTAAGAAAATAAGAGAATTAGCACTCTAATGTGATAGAAGATCAATACACTGAGCTCAAAGGCTCACATATTGGATTTTAGCATTTTAAGTTAGTAGTTATTAATGTCTGGTTTGGCATTAAATTGACTACTCTCTACTTGACCCTTAAGTAATTTAATTACATGACAAATTTTTTAAAAATACAGTTGACTAAGTTAACAGGATAATGGTGTTTTGATATTTAACAGTATTTTGGAAAGGCAATTAAGTTCTCTTCAATCCCATCTGACTTAAAGTTCAAAAGATACAGGTTTTCTGAGATTATATTAGTTGAACATACCTTTGTCATGTTTCTAACTGGTAATGCAAAGACCCAATAAATATGTCTTTTAACTATTTAACATGTTAAACTTTTAGGTAAAGCTAGTAACATTATTTTTAAATGCACTGTTGTAAAAAGGAAACAACAAAACGTTGCATTAATGCACTGTTTAAATTACAAGAAAGAATGAAGGTAATTGTTGGGGAATTAAGCGGATTCACTCTATACTTTGCTGGTATCTTTTTGTGTTGAACCTAGGCAGTCCAAAATGCTGAAAATCAGGAACAATTCAATTTGGTGCAATATTTTGAAGTTCTTCTTTAGGAAGAATCTCCAGGCCATGGAGAAGTTGCTAGAGATTAATTAGGATGACAACAAGGTTGAGACGATTTGGTTATGAGGAAAGTCCAAAAAAAATTAAGTTCTTTCATTGGAACAGAAAGATTGAGAAGGTACCTGAAGAAAGTGCTGAAAATTATTTATTGCTTTGATAAAGTAAATAGACTACTATTTGGTGATACTTCAACATTTTCATAAAATTTTTCATTTTTGAAGAATGATATTCATTATATTCTTAACAATAAAAATATTTATACTGAACAACTACTGATTGGGTAAGTATTGAGTTGAGACTTCTTTATAGTTTGTTATTGAATTAATACCAGTTCTGTGACTTGGCCTATTTAAGGATGATTGGCAAGGAATTGTTAAAAGTAGGTTACAGCATCATGATAGATAAGCATATAATTTACCTGAAAAGGGAAGAGCATCAGAGCCACAAATATATTAATTCAGACCCTGCAATGAAAGCTGAAGAAAGGTGCTGAAAATGTGAGAAAAAGATTAAAACTGAACATTGAGTTATGAAATGGGACAAGGCAAGGGACAAGGCAAAGGAAGAAAGACTGCAATCCTTAACTGTCAGTAGCTACTGCTAAAATAGTACTGATAACATTTACCTTATCCAGTTTCTGGAGGCACAAGCTAATGGTTTGAAGTTTTTATGATCATTTCAGTTCTCTGTAATTTTTCTTGAAGTCAGATACTCATGGTGTAATTTGAGTAGGTAATATTTATGCATGTGTTAATATATGGAAACATGCAATATCAAATGGGGAAAAGTGTATAAAATGTAATAATTTAAGGTGCAACTATACAAACTGGATCCACAGAGCTTAAGAGAAAGGCCACTTCTCTCTACTGGTGCTAGGATAACATTTTGTTTATTTTGCATGCTGGAGTGAACTAACTAATTGATTCAGACAGGCTGAATGATGCTGGATCATCGTTTCTTAGCCTTTGAAGATAATGAGAATTGTTCCCTTGTGAAATGTTTGTCTTGTATGAGAAATAATTGATTCATCTGGTTGGATGACAAAGACTCACTTTACTACGAGATCACCACCTGTAAAATCCAATACGTTAAATATAGATTTTTAAATTTAGGAATGCTGCCTAAAATTTTATGGAATAAAATTTTCAAGGTTATGATAATGAGTAGAATTGAATCATGAAAAATTTAGAATAGAATCTTTTTACACTTTTTGGATTGGAAGTGATTTAAGAAGGTTATTTTTGGCTTCAAAATAGGATATTATTGCATTTTGAAATTTTCACCCTTTTTTCTCTATCTAATTCTCTTTTCTCTTGAAGGCACAGTTCCAGGGCCTCCAGGAAATGTTCTTGCCCATGTTTCTCAAACTGTGTAGTTTCAGCAGGAGCTGAATAGAATTCAAATGCTTCTAATTTTCCTTACCAAGCAGTGAGGAGACTTCAAATTTTGCCAAACACTGATAACTAAGCAAAGAATGAAAATTAAACTTAAGGCCTTTTTGATGAATACCTAAACCTTGTACAAGGAATAAGCTGGAGTAATGACATATCAGCCTTTTTAAAAAAAACTTCATAAATTTAATGGGACCCAGCTTTGTATCTGTGTCTGTGAAAGGATTTTCTCATTTTAGAGGGAGTGCAGTGAAGGCTCACGAAACAGGAGGGTTGGCCAGGTCAACAGTATCAATGAGAAAATATTGAATATAATGGATCTATACTTTGGAATTTAGAAGAGTGAAAAGTGAGGTCATTGAATTATATAAGATTCCTCAAGAACTTGATAGTAGCTGCAGAGAGCATCTTTCCCTGGTTGGACAGTCGAGAATGTTAGGCCTTAGAATAAGGGGACAAGCACTATGGCTTTAGACCAGAAGAAATTTGTTCACTCAGAGTTGTGAATTTTCAGAATTGTGTGTCCCAGAAAGTACAGATCTCGGCGTGGAGCATAATCAAGGCTGAATATGAATTGATTTTTGAATTCTAATGAAATCAAAGAATATGGAGACTTGACAGAAATATGGAGTTGAAGTTGTCAATTAGCCACAATAAATTGATGAGCAAGTTCATATGGCTCTGTTGTTTACTGCCACTGCTAATTTTACTGTTGTATGTTGTTTTGGTTCTGTCATCTGTGTTACAGCTATTAACATTGCCAGTGATAGAAATATAACTCCAAATAATTACCCTTTTATGTATTTAGGTAGAGGAGATCACAGCAAACATGATGGCATGTAATTTATTGTCAATCCAATTAATTTATAAGTTGATGCTAATATCATTTGAGGTGGATGTCATCAAATTAATTACTGATAGTTGGCTCTACGCACAGTATGCTGTATAAATTTCACGTTAACTTCAGAAATAAAACAGAAATAAAAATCTAATAACCCTTGCAGGTTCCTAGTGTGAACTCTCCATTAGGTGATCAATGATTTATGAAGGAATTTAGTTTTTTTTTGGAGAAAGCGAAGTCTGTCAGTGGGTTAACATACCAACCTTTTGACCTCAGATGGAATCCAGCTGGAATGAAAGCCTCTTCTGTCTGCTGGCTTTAATAGGCCTATGTGAAATATGTTAGGGCAGTCTCAATAAGCATGGGTCCATATGCATTATGATACTCATTGTTTAGTACTGAATTGGCAAATTTCAAAGTGACACAATGGTCAATGTTATTTTTTGATAGAATATAAAGAGTTTATCTGAGGGTCTGGCATATTGTTCCTAACTCTATCTACTTGTTAGTTTATCTCACTGTATTCATTATTACCATATACTAGAAATATACATGTAGATGTCAGAATTATTACTTTGGCAGGCCTGTTACTATTGGCCTTAGTACAATTAGACGAGGCATCAGAAAGAATCAATCAAATTTCATGAGCCCTATCAAGGGCATACTCCATCTCAAGCTGGGTCATGCTTGGAAATGTCAGGTGAGGAAAGGATCTGTTGATCTAAGATTATACATCTTTCATCACAGTTGAGTTACCAGATGTTAATTTAATAACCTCATACATAGGATTGGCTGCTAGGCACCCTGGCATGATCATCTGATTTCAGATATATGCAAAATGATGTAAATGCTGAAAATCTGAAATAAAAACATCAAAATGTTGTACAAACTCAGCAATTCTGGCAGCATCTATGGAGAGTGAAACAGAGTTAACAATTTGAGTCCAATATGACTTCTTCAGAACACTACTTTTAGGGCAGCAGGGGAGAATATTCAGAACAATATATTTATTCTCCGTTATTAGCTAGTGACTAGAGATGTAAAAGTTAATGTTTAGAGCATTCAAGTAATGCTAACAAATCTGGGAGAATACTGTCACATTTGTGATGTTGTCTTGCCTATCTTTTTTGGGGGGTAGTGGTGTTGGGGGACGCAATGGCTTAGTGGTATTATCATTAGACTGTTAATGATGATGGAATTTGAATTCAATAACCAAAATCTGCAATTAAGTGTCTAATCATAGAATCCCTACAGTGTGGAAACAGGCCCTTCGGCCCAACCAGTCCACACCAAACCTTGAAGCATCCCACCCAGACCCAACCCACGTAATCTACATATCCCTGAACACCACGGGCAATTTAGCGTGGCCAATCCACCTGGCATGCACATCTTTGGTGACCATGAATCCACTGTTTGTCAGAAAATCCCAACTGGTTCATTAATGCCCTTTAGAGAAGGAAATTGCCTGTATGTGATTCCAGACCCACAACAAAGTGGTTGACAAAGGGGTGGGCAATAAATGCTGGCCTGGTCAGCAACGCCCTCATCTTGTCAATGAATTAAAAAAAATAGTGAAATGGAAGTAATGTCTGTAGGATGGCATACCCTACCGTGGCCAGTGACTTAGCAACATTTGACAATGCCATTAACAATAATCCAAAACAACACTCAGTAGCTTCGTGTGCAGTAATTGTGGCAGAATCTACCTCTCAGGAATTGGCCTCTTCAGCCATCAGCAAAGATGTTCCATATAAAGACACCCTTATCTGAAATGGAGCGTTTGCTGTGTGACTACCTTTCACAGATAAAAGGATGCTGATGACAAATGTTTTGTTCACACTTACATTTTATGAACTTTGATTTGGTAAATTATTGCTTAAGTAAAAAAATTAATTGAAGCTATATTAGACATCTACAAGAAAGTAAGGAAAAATTGAAGCAGTAAATTATCAACCATAAGTGAATGAGACAACATTCTGTCGAGAGAGAAACAGGGTTGCAATTTCAGGTTTATAATCTGTCATAAGTTCCAGGTAACTGTTTCATTCTCATTCACTCCAGAGATGGTTTTTCACCTGCTAAGGTTTTTTAAGTGTTAATTTTGTTTGCATATTAATGATTAAGATTGGTTGCTCCATGAGAAGATAGATACCTGCAGTCCATCAATGTCTCCTGAATTCTCCACTCATTTGACTCCAGTCATTTGTGCAACTCCTTTCCTTTGCAGCACCATTAATTCACCATTCATTTACATGCTTAGATGTCTTGCTGTGGAATCTCCTCTTATGTTGGACTGCCTCTGAGCGTGGTAGCAGGTGAACCATATTAATGAGGGACTGGAATCACAAATAGGCAATTCAAATTTAAAAATGTCACATTTCCTTTTCTAAAAGAGATCAAGGGCCATTTTATGCTATTATCAAACTTTTGTTTCCTGTTTTTTTTTCTTAAAGCTGAAATCAAGTTCTCAAATTGTCACTATGGGATTTCAACCTGTATTCTCAAGATTATTAATCCAGTAATTTAGTCACTAAACTAGTATATCTCTATAGTGCAGTTTGTGACAAAAGCAGATGGCCTCCTTAATTTACATGCTCCTATTTTTTCCCAACATATTTTCCTGCCCCCAGACCTTTGCTTGGCAGTCATATATTGAAGGATTGCTGTGTGCATGGTACACACTTATTAAGGTTGTACATTCCAGACACACCACCACTTAAGAAAGCAATGTTTAAATTTGGTAGTTATATGATAATTGAGCTTTGTCATTCCATTCACTACTCGTATTTGTTCAAATAAGAAATGGGAATATGTGTTTCATCATTGTGTTAACTTAATGAACCCTTCCTTTGGCTCTATTTGCTTTCAATGCATTTTCCTAACAAGGATGTTCTAATTATATCTGGATAAGAAATGGTGGTTTCTAAAATATTGGTTATTAAACATGTAATGTTTCTTTACATTTCAATGATCAATTTATAATGTTTTCAATCCCAAATTGCAGATTTCTTCAATGCCTGTGAGGAGACATGTGCCGTGGCTAGTAGTTTGTTTCCTAATTTTTCTACATTCACTTGATGTTAGTTGCCAGGAATATTTAGACTCCATCTCTGGTGAGTAGAATCTGAATAACCAATTTATTATCGTTTGATTTGGAGTTCCTTGATCTAATGTTCTTTATCTACCACTCCTTTACTTATGTGTCTTTCATATCTGTTTAAATAAAAAGTAGTTTCTTAGTCTTCAAATCATGACCAGAGTGTCTTTTCAACATCTGAAGACTGTTGGAAAATTTTAATAGAAATGAAGGCCAACCTTCACACACAACCTGTATCGGTGATTCATTTACATGTTAGGGGTGGCACAGTGGTTCAGTGGTTAGCACTGCTGTTTCACAGCACCAGAGACCCAGGTTTGATTTCACTCTCAGCTGACTGTGTGGCATTAGCACATTCTCCCCATGCTAAATTGCCCATAGTGTCCAGGAATGTGTTGGCTAGGTGGATTAGACATGGGAAATGCAGGGTTACAGGATTAGGTAGGAGGGTCTGCATGGTATGCTGTCGGAGGGTTGGTGTGGATTCAATAGGCTGAATGGCTTGCTTAGGGATTCCGTGAAAAACAGTTTGATAATCTATGTTCTTAGTGTGTTTGAAGGGTTTATTCTTCACACTACGTTATTGTTGGTCGATGTTAAATATTTGTCTTGATTGTAAACTTGTCTTCAGAAACACATGCTTGAATTTATTTATTTATTAGATTTATTTGCTTGTTTATTTAGTTTAATTTGACATCTTTCAGATATTCTCCAAGATTACTTTTCCTGCCATTTTTATTAAATCATGTAAAATGTGTCCTGTATTTATACCTATGTTTATTGTTGAGTGATTAGACTAATAAAACAGGTTCGGCAGCTCAGTTGGCTGAATAGCTGGTTTATGGAGTAGAATGATGCCAACTGATGGGTTCAGTTCCTGCACCAACTGACATTATCATCAAGAACTCTCCTTCTTAACCTCTCCTCTCACCTTGCACGTGGTGACCGTCAGGTTAAACCATCACCAGTCATCTCTCTCCAATGAGAGAAGGACTCTGTAGTCCAGTAGGACTTTGGCAACTTAATTCTTTACCCTAGATACCAACTTTCAGAAATAGAATGGAATTAATAGAAAGTTTTCCTGGCTATGATAGCATATTTTTCTGACCTTTCTGGAGTTTTGCAATTTATACATTTCACAGCTTTAATGCTCAATTAAATTGTTTCTGGCTGTCAGAATGAATGCAAAGATTTTAAAGTGCCAAGATTGTTCTACAAAGCCAAGCCAGAAGAAGCGGTTAATCATTTACCTGGCAGCAGCTATTTTCTACAAGACTTCCAGTTAAAGACTTATGCATATTATCTTTTTAACAGAGATAGTAGGAACTGCAGATGCTGATTTCTGAAGAAGGGTCTAGGCCCGAAACGTCAGCCTTCATGCTCCTCTGATGCTGCTTGGTCTGCTGTGTTCATCCAGCTCTACACCTTGTTATCTTTTTAACATGTTATTTTCTCATTTCTTTCTAATGAAGTGAAATGATTTAAAAAAAAAAAAAAAAAAAATTTATGCATACATCTCTTGTAGAATCATTTCTGAATTCAGCTCTTCTGCAGCTAATTACCATTGCTGGCTTTTGATAGAGTGTGCTATTGACTACTAACCAATGCAGAGTGAACATCTGGTAATGGATGTGATTCTTAGTGAAGCCATCTGTTTTGTTTGTGCAGAGAATTTAATTTCATGTTAGATAAATGAGCAAGATTCAAGGGCTGAAAAGAAGTTTAAGGGTTCCTGGCGTAGTTGTTCTAAAAAAAACATAATGTTTGGATGAGTTTTTTTTAATGCCAAAGCACATTGCCAGAAGCGGGTACATTTTCTCTGTTGTTTGTATTATAAAATGGCCACATCCTTTTGAGCAAATACATAATTAGAAGGGGGACTTAGTAATGGATTTTGAGCTTCTGATCCCCAGATTATGAAGGGGACATTTTTATTGACAGTACCAGGAAATTTAAACATTGTTAAAATTATACATTTTGGAGTTATAAGTTAATACAGTTCATTGAAATGCAAATTAGTGAAAAAAATTGGCGGTTCTATGATTAGCTCAAACCTCCTTATCATAATTACATGTTCAGTGATAGAATATGCAGTCTTTTTAAAAAATTTTTGTATGAGATGGGGTTGTTGCTGCAAGGTCAGCATTTGCTTCTCATCCTTAGTTGTCCTTGTACTGAACTTGCTAGGGCAAATAAGAAGGCTGGAAATACAAGAAATTCTGAAGCTTTGTCTCTTTAATCTACAATGATCAAAAAGCTTTTACCGAATACCTGTAACAGAGCTTCACAAACCCTTCTGCTCACTGACCTATCTCCCAATATCAACTGGATTGTATCACTTAAATGTAACACATCACGCACACTAGGGCATCATCATGAGTTAGGATAATTGGGGTATAAGGCTGGAGCCATAGAGAGATCTTGGCCTGTCAATTTCTATTTTCTGGGTTTGTGGTGCTGAAGGCAACCATTAGAGTCAAGGCCCAGAGACATCAGTCCTCCATGCTGTTGCCTCTAACCGTATCCTTCTGTTAGCTACTCAAGATGCAGAAAAAATCTCTAAATCCAAAAGTCAACATTATGTAATGTTGCTCCTGAAATTAACTATTGTTTCCTTCAGGGGATGATGACGTAACTTCCTTTGAAGGTTCCACAGCTGAAGATTTGCACAGAAACGCATCAGGAAGCCTTTCCAATGAGAATGAACTGTCTGGTGATGGCAGTGTAATCACAACAGACACTCGTGATATTACTGAATCTCCATCAGGATTTTATCCAGAAATTGAAAGACCTGAACCTGATGATCAATACCGCACAGCTTCTGGAGATCTTGACCTGGAAGAACCCGGGTCCAGCATGCCTACAGACACAGATTATCATTATACTAACCAGCCAGATGCTTACATTTCTGTTTCTATCCACACAAGAACACCATTTACGCACCAACAAGGAACTCCAGTTATGGAGATGGAGCCGCTTCCCATTCGTGATCCCTCAGAGGGAGAAGGTACGTGTCCTGGTTGATTTATGTTGACGTATATGCATGCAATGGAAACAGAAGTCAGCTACTGCATAATTTGTGTTCCAGATCATGAACACAGAACCAGAACAAGGGTTTCCCCTCTCAAACTTTAAACAAGGAGTTTGCCATTTAGGACTGAGATAAAGAGAAATTTCTTCAGTCAAATGGTTCTGGATCCTTGGAATCCTCTGCTCCAGAGGGCTGTAGTTGTTCAGTTCTTGGGTAGATTTGAAATAGAGTTTAATGCATTTTTGGACATTAAGTGATGTGGGGACATTGTGTGAAGGTGGATTTGAAATAAAAGATCAATAATGTCATATGAAATGGTGAAGAGCAGGCTAAAAGGGCTAAATGGACTATTTCTGTTGCAATTTTTTCCGTTCCAGGATGGATCACACATCTTCAATTCAACAGTTGACACCATTTATTATTTGTGTTTCTTTTAAAGCATGTGTTCCCAAATCAACAGCTTCAAAGTATTGACAAGAGTAAAATTGGTACATGACTGATTTCATTTCTTCTTGATACTTTTAGTTTATTTTGTTTTCCTCTACCCCAGTCCTGGGTCATCTTTGCTGTGCAATATTATAGTTTACTATAGTGTAATTACTGTACTGTAATTTATTAGTGTCAATGGAAATCCTGCAGCTACTGCCTTGATTCATTTACTTGCCAGGATTAAAAGGGCCCTACAGAGGCTTTAGGAAAAATCAAGATGCAGGAAGGGGTATGGAATGCCCTTTTCCTTGATATTTTGCCAGTGGCAGGGAATGTGGACAAAAGACCCTCACAGTCGCACACACTCTCAGAAGCTAAATAAGAGTCTCTTTGTGCCATCACGAGCAATGACCCCTCGTTAGTCTTCATTTCTATTGCTTTCAGCAACCATTGTCTCCCCTCATTACAACTCCACTTCATGTCTGATTGCTCCCCATGATCCTCAAACCCTCTTGGCTTGCTGCGAGGCCAGCATTTATAAATGAATCTTTCAGCTCCCTGCAGTGGCCGCTGTTCCCAGTGGAGCTATTGGAACTGATGCACTGCAGGCCTTCTGATTGGCGTCTCTTAGAAATGAGATCTGTTCCTTAAAGGATTGGAAGCCTCATTGGCAATTGGGTTGCCAGAAAATACATTTGGCTGTGGGATTTGTAGTGAGGGTAATGAGATCAGCCAGTTGGACCTCATAGAATATGAGTTCTCTTATTGGGGCTGTTAACTTGGACAAATGAGGGACCCCTGGCTGACAGATAAAAACAGGAGTGTCAGACATCAGTTGACTGAGGGAGCTAGATCAGTGTCAAGGACTCTCCATGTGTAAATAGAGGAAGACTTGGTGGTGGGATACCAGCCTCTGTGGAATTATTTCAGTGGCGCTTAGAGAAAAGCATGGTCCTGAAGCAATTCGCTTGTCACAGTCATCTTTGAGCTGGGTTAAGCATGTCTGGCATCATGCCATTAGTAAGAAAGCTTGACTCGTTCAATATTGCTGTCAAAGAATGGACACAGTATGTGGAAAGAATGCACTATTTTTTCTGGCCAAATAACATTGGGACAGATGAAAAGCAAAGAATAATTTTCCTGCCACCTTGTAGAGCTGCAGCTTTTTTGGTTAATAGGAGCCTAACTTTCCAGGAGGAGCCAGATACTAAAACCAATTTCAAGAGTTGACGGATTTATTTATGGAATATTACAACCCCAAACCACCTCGAATTCTGAGATTGTGTCAGTTTTACTTGGCAGTTCGAGAACTAGGGAATCTGTACTGGGATTTTTGACGAGGTTAAGATGACTGGCAGAGGCATGTGACTTTGGGTTAACCCTTGATGAGAAGCTGAGAGGTATGTGGGATTAATGATGTAACCATACAAAAGCATTTACTAGCTGAAGCTCAACTGGACTTCAGACAGGTACTACAACTGGCTTTATCATTGGAAAATCGGCAAGTGGAGCATATGAATTGCAGGGTATTCCGATAGAAGTGGACACCCTGACTGAGCTGGGGGAACACCACTTGAGTGAAGACAATTGCATAGCCTCACACAGGACATATCCTGATCAGAGGGACTCTTAGTTAGCCCGCAGCAAAACTCCAAAACAAAGCCAAGCCTCAGCCAAACAGTTTAAAATTTTCTTCAGGATCCGGGCTGGCAAGCTATCGTAGTTGCTACCGGTATGTGGGCTTGAGACCTAAATTGAGTAAGAGAACTCATGGAGGGTGTACACCCTAGACAGTCTACCTACATCTGGTTTGAAACAGTTAAATTGTTTAGCAACATCCAAATCAGAGACAATCAAAATAAGCATCTGGTTAAATGGTGGAGATAGTAGGAACTGCCAATGCTGGAGAATCTGAGGTAACAAGGCATAGAGCTGGATGAACACAGCAGGCCGAGGAGCAGGAAAGCTGACGTTTCGGGTCTGTACCCTTCTTCAGAAATGACCTAGTTCTAATGGAGGTCAATACTGGCACAGCTGTTTTAGTGAGTGCAGAACCAATCTTTAACAAAGCTCGCTCTGGACTCCAACCCTTAAGTTTGTGTAAGACCTTGGCTAGACTGAGAACCTTTATAGATTCAGGGTACAACTTTGGTTCCGGTTTCCTATGAGCTCAAGGTTAGTTGGACAAAATTGGTTCAGAAAGATTCACCCAGATTGGTCAATATTTTTCAATTAGAAAATGGCTGCCTGAGTGAAGTCCTAATTAAATACCACAAGTTTTTCAGGAAGGTCCAGAGACTATCAAAAGCCAAGGCCACCCTACATGTTGCCGAGTAAGCAAATCCACAAATCTGCAAGGCCTGCCCAGTGCCATTTGCCTTACGGGCAAAAGTAGTGACAGAAATCAGAAGGCTGGAACATGAAAGAATCATCAAACCAGTGCAGTTTGTGGAATGGGCAGCACCGGTCATCCTGATCGTGAAGTCTGATGGGTTGGTTCGCCTTTGTGGGAATTTCAAACAAATGGTAAACTGCTTTTTGCAGCTGGAAAAATCCCAATCCCTGCTCGCATTGAGGATTTATATGCAAAGCTGGCCGGAGTCGGGGAGACTGTCTTTCATGAAACTGGACATGAGCCATGCGTACATAGAATTGTGGTTTTGTGAGGATTCTCAGAAATACAATACAATTAATATCCATAAGAGTTTCTTTACCAATATGCGAGACTGACGTTTAGGCTATCATCAGCCTGTGCAATTTTTCAGCAGATGACAGAACCTTTTACAAGGTCTACCCCAAGTCACCATTTATTTACATGATGTGTTAATAACAGGGAAAATCAAACTGAGCATTTAGAGAACTTGGACATAGTCCTTAGACATTTTTCCCAGGTGGGCATACATCTTTAGAAGGGAAAAATGTATGTTCCAGGCACCACAAGTGACTTACTTGAGCTACAGAATTGACAAGATTGGGTTACACCTGTTGGATAAAGTGAGGGTGATCAAAGGTGTCCTGGCTCCCGTGTTTGTACTAGAGCTTAGGTCTTTCCTTGGGTTGGTGAATTATTACGGAAAGTTGATACAGAACCTGGCCTCCATCCTAGCACCTTTACATCAACTCCTAAGAAACGGTCAGCCTTGGAAATGGTCAGGTAGTCAAGCTATAGCTTTCAGTGAAGAGAAGAAACAGCTATCATCCTATAAGGTGTTGGCACACTGTGATCCCAAGTGAGATCTGGTATTGACATGCGATGCTTCCCTGTATGGCATTGAGGTAGTATTAGCTCATCGGTGGCCCAATGGAGAGGAATGCCCAATAGCATTTGCATCCATAACTTTGGCTAATTGCAGAGGCTTAGTACACCCTGATAGAGAAGGAAGGTTTGGCAGTCATATTTTGAGTCAGGAAGTTCTACCAGTTCTTTTTATGGACATAAATCTGTAATAATAGACCACAAGCCCCTGCTAGGTCTACTTAAAGAGGACAAGGCTGTGCCACCCATAGCTTCAGGTCAAATTCAGTGGTGAGCTCTAATACTAAGTGTGTATAATTACACCGTCCAGTAGCAAAAGCAGATGCGTTGAGCCACCTCCAACTGGCAGGTACACCACGGATGGTGCACCGATAGTCCATAATGGTTTTAAATTTTCTGGACATACTTCCAGTCAAGGCTGATAAAATCAGACTTTGAATGCAGAAAGATCCGGTCCTGGCAAAACTGAAACAGCTGGTAGCGATGGGGGAATCCAAAGGGCCATCACAACCAGAATTGAGACATTTTTGAACCCGGAGAAACCAGATCACAGTAGTGGTTGGTATATTATTATGGGGGTCAAGTGTGATTGCCCCGAACAAAGGTCACGACTAGATACTGGCTGACCTCCACCAGACTCGTCCAAAATGAAGATGTTGGCGAGAAGTTATGTCTGGTGGCCAGAGTTGGATGAAGACATTGGTGGGACAGTGCCCAGAGTGCCAAATGGACAAAAATTACTGCTAGCAGCTCCTCCACATCCGTGGAAATGGCTGGGTAAACCCTGGACTCAGTTTCAAATCGACTATGCCGGTCCTTTCATGGGCTCAATGATCTGTCATTGCGGGCACCCACTCAAAGAGGCTGAATGTGCATAGAGTTCATTTGTCAAACGCAGGGACGATGATAGAGAAACTGCCTCTTTTGCAATACACAGACTCCCAGAAGTGTTGGTCACATAACAGTCCACTGTTCACCAGTAGGGAATTTGAGTATTTCCTAAAGTCGAATGGTATTTGACATCTTAAGACAGCTCCATACCATCCATCATCCAGTGGTCTGGCAGAAAGAGCAGTCCTAACTAGATACTATTCCTATTTGATGATATGACCATCCCTCTTGCAACTACAGAGAGAGCTTCAGCAGAGTTGCTAATGGGGAGAAGATTCCACACCAGGTTAAATCTGATCTTCCTTGACCTGGGGGAGAGTGAAACAACATCAGGAATGCCAATGCTGGACGCAAGACTCTGCTAAGAGATAGTTTACTTGAGGAGATGAAGTTTGGTGTAAGAACCATGGGAATGGCCCTGCATGGGTAAGAGGCATGGTTGACGCAAGGTCAAGTCTAGTGACTTATAAAGTTTGGGTAGGTACAACATTCCTGACATGGACCATATGAAAGCTGCAAACCTGCAAATGGTGCAGGAGCGAAACGTGCTCAGTTCCTCAACAGGCTTTTCGACTGTTCTGGAACCCATGGGTGTTCCCTTTCTGCCATATGTTGAAGATGCCTTGAAATTTGAGATGTTTGTGTGGACCTCCAACACCCTCAAGGAGCTTCCCATAGATCTACTCATGGCTCCTTCCTCTTGATTTTTGTTCAGACTGGACTCAGTTTTCGCGTTCTGTTTGATCCCGTTTGAACTGCCAATGTTATATATATTTTCTATCATTTGTGTGTGTTTTCCATTCAATAACAGATTATACTTAAAATTCTTGTCTTCACTCATAAAAACACTCCATTCCACCTTATTTTTGTAACCCGTTGTATCCTTTGACTCAGACCAACTGTGTAGTACTCTCCTCCCCTGATGCACCTTTTGTGGCAGAACAGTTGGTATCCTCAATCCTACTTGGACTCCCTCCTTAATCCATTCCATCTCTTTACAACTTTTGTCACTTTTAGAATCTTTCTTAAATTGGAGTTTTATGTGCAAGCCGTTGCCCGCCCTGCTACATCGCCGACAAAGATTTACACCTGTTTCTTTCCTCCATTGTGAGTTCATTGGCATGGTTATATACCTTGAAGTTACTGTACAAGTGCAATTTTGGCATTTTGCAAATTGCAGCAATTTTCATGGTGGTGAATGTTGCAAGTTACATGTGAATACTCTCCTATAACTTTGCGAACTTCTGATGGGTCTTTTACAACAATTGAAACTTGCCCTAAGGAATATAATGAGAAAAAAACCTTACTTTAAGTATTGGCCTTTCACTGGGCAGAAACTGTAGCTTCCCAATGATTATGTTACCTGCTGCAGCAATGGTGTTGATGAAAAGGAACTCTCATACATATTCATTGGCAGTTAGCAATATACCTGTTTAATGTCATTCAACTCCCTCCAACCAGTCTGTCCCCTCCCTCACACTGTCTACTGTAATAATGCAAGTGGAACTTTGAACTTTAAATTGAACTGTTTTTGTCTGGTATGCCTAATGGGGAGTCCTTTGAAATTACACTTCATAAATGTTTCAAAGTAGTTACAACAAAGAAAGTTTAAATGGTGCGAAGAGTTCATTGTTACATTTTCACCCCATTACAAATATCAAACAGCTTTTGAACAGAGAATCATGATACATATGTATACATTTTTTTAAAAAAAGGCTAAAATATTTTTAAATGGAGAATGAGTTAAGAAAATGTAAGGAAGTAAGATCCTATTATTTTAAAGTTAAATAATTTCTAAAACAAAGTTTGAACTATGCAAATGGAAATCAGTCATTTGGAGACCTTTAACTGCATAAAAGTCTTAATTTCAAAGTTAAAGCCTTTTTCAATATAATTTTCTATTTTCATAAAACTGCTTTCTTATGAGATAATGTTCTGTGAAAACTAGTTCAAATACTATCAGTTAACAGTGAAATCAACTTACCCAAATGCACTGCAAAAATGGAACTGTCCAAGTACTGAGATCCAATTTGGATTTCTCCATAATAGAACAGCTTATGATCAGAACACTTGGCAAAGGATAATATGAGTAAATCTGGGATAAAAAAACATGCTTAATTACACATTAAAGAACAGTGCACTGTATCATCTTCCATTCATATTCCATTGTTAAGGCGGTATGGTGGCTCAGTGGTTAGCACTGCTGCCTCACAGCACCAGGGACCCAGGTTTGATTCCTGGCTAGGTGGATAAGCCATGGGAATTGTAGGGTTACAGGGATAAGGTAGAGAGGTGTGCTGGTCTTTGGAGGGGCAGTGCGGACTCGATGGGCTGAACAGCCTGCTTCCACACTGTAGGATTCTATGATTAATTGTCAGCTCATAACATCACCAATATTCATAGCTTTGCCAACAAACATTTGAAACACTATCCATATACTAAAACATGCTGGCTACAAAACTCCCAAGGTGATCTTGCATTTTGTTAATTATTGGCATACACCAGGTTGCAAAGTATACCTGACGTTCATGGTGATTCAGTTACAGTGATGTCTTGGGACTATTGGGGCATGTCTCATGAATTCTTAAAGCTTTTTCTTAAATATGACATGAGACATCACTATAGTGTTATGTTACTATAAAGCATAAATGCTTGGCACCCACTAGCTTAGCATTAGCTTCTGAATATTTTAAACAATCGTGCTATCTAGCATTTTCCATGCTGCTCTCCAGAATACTTGGTTTGCCCTTTAACTTTGAGTTAGGCTACAACAGACTTGCCTGTGCTATTTTTAAAAGTACTTTTCAGTGCGATGTGCAACGATCGTTGTCATGTTGTTCCTTAGACCATCATTTTTAAAAAAGGCGATTATGAAGGATTTCTAATTCTTCCTGCTAAACTGATCTTGCAACTCTCAATTAAAAGTATGCAAAATGAAGAGGCTCCAATGCAATTATCCAAAAGGATTGCATAACTTCCCATCAGCTCTAAGCTAGTTTCGCTCCAAGACTGCAATGCTTCGGTATAAAGATGCATAATGCTCACTTAGGAGCATTACTATGTAAATTGGATAATTATCTTTAGATTTGGTACTAGTTGCATTTTCCCCTCTGTTCCAGTTACTGACGTGTTGGAAGCATTAAGATTGTCAAGTACAGTTGGTGTCTACGAAGTGGAAGGATCCCAAATTAACTTAAAGGCTTATCGCCTAGAGCCAAGTACACAGATTAGGAGAGAATCAAGGTACGTAGTATCAAAGAAAGTCAGCTTTGCCTTCATATAGACCGACGGACATTCTTAAATGCATTACAGACAATCAAGTTCACTGAATTATAGGGACTGTATAAATGTAAAGATTAATATGCAGATATCTATAATTGCTTCTTGCTACATGTATATACTCATCCTCAAAACAGTTAAATGAAAGGACCACTCTTTAAAGTTTAAAAAAACTCCCCTCCAATAGCTCATTCTTAACTAAGTGCAAATTACTCTACATTTATAACCAATTTACGAGGTGAATGTTCCCCACTTGCTATAAAATATTTCGGAAAGATCATCTCTTGAATTTCATTATCAGCTTATATTGTTAGGATACTTTGTTTTTGGACAAATTCCTAAATGAATTGGCATGTCAACATAGTAACTATTATAAAGTTGATTCAAATATTAAGAGAACTGTTTTGCATTAATTGCCATTGCCTTCTCCACTAAGTTGTGATGCAGGGTTAAAATGTTTTCATAATTAAAGCATCCATTGCAAACAACACTGTCAAAATATTAGTAGTAATGAATCAGAGAGTATAATATTATTGTCAAGGTAATGGTCATTAGTTGTTGACATTTAAAAGCAAAAGTTTTTATCCATATGGAAGCTCCTGATTCAGAATTAAAATTGAGAAAATACTGCAGCTTTTCTGATTCAATTCTAGAGCAGGAAGGTGTCAAACCACCAGTCCAGGCATATGTTGAGTTTCTATTTCACATGGAATGGATAGAAACCTGCATTAATGTGGATACCAGCCTGAACATCCTGCTTTGAGGCTGAGGCCCATTCTGTGGATGTATTTTTGAACACGTATAAAAATTCTTATCTCTGAGTGTCATTAACTATTTTTGTGCCTCTGTAACATGCATCCAATGTTCAAACAAAGTAGAACACCAGCAACGTTTTTTGCTGACTTCACTGCATCTGTTGGAAGAAAGCAGAGTTAACATTTCAAGTCCAGTGACTCGCCATCGGAACACTGGACTTGAAACGTTATCTCTACTTTCTTCCCACAGATGCTGCCAGACCTGCTGAGTTTCACCAGCAATTTGTTTTTGTTTCAGATCTCCGGGATCTGCAGTCCTTTGTTTTATTTTTTTGCTGATTTTTTTTTTTGTGTTTTAACATATACACATTATAAATGCAATTAGAAGGAACTTTAGTTTCCTCTCTAATATTCACTTCACAATAAGATTGTGTAAAAGGAATCACTGGTGACCAGTCACTTCATTTTTGCCTCTTCTTTCTGGGAGAGAAAGTAGCCTTTGTTTGGTTTATCCCTGACCATCCAGCCAAATTCTGGAATTCATTGGTCCTGATCTTAGTTTGAGGTGGGTAGGGAGCCTGGGGGTGTAGGGCAATTTTCCAACTGGGAAACCCAGAATAATTTGCTTCTCTCATCCTTGTCAAATTTAACTGTAGGATTCAAGCACAAAGTTTTTTGTTTCTGATTTCTCAGCTATAGCAATGTAGATGGGGAGGCTGATTGGCTGAAGCTTTCCACACAAGGGCACAGACAGGGAATGGGGTGGAAGGAAATTGGAAAAGCCAAAGTTTGAGGAGGGAGATCAGAAATGAGAATGCAGACAGATTGAAGCCCAGAAAGGTAGATTGTGTCTTGGGGACAAGATATTAAGCCACAGTAAGGGTCAAATGAAGATCACAGCCAGAAGGCATAAGAGAAGGAACTGCATGGAGTTGGATGAGGCAAGTAAGCTGGATATAGCAGGACATACCCGGATATGACCACCCCTTAGATACCAAATTTTTCAAGACCCTATAAACCATAAAGACAGCTAGAATTAAAGATACCATTTGAGGTAAACAACCTGATGATAATATTTTAATGTACAACCCATCTTCTGGGAGTGCTTGGTTACCCACAACATCCTACCTTCTTTTTATAAAAAAAAAATCTGGATGGATTAAGAGAGAGTTGGGGTCAGAAATCAGACTTTTAATGTTTTTAAATCCCAGCTGACTCAACCCTACATATTTTTAGTGTTTAAAATACCCCCCATTGTGTTGAAAGAACTCATGCTCATCTCACTGAGGTGCTGTTCATTACTAGAGCATTGTGAATGACACTGGTCAGCAGTGTTCCTTCATTAAAAAGTCAGAAAGTTCTCATCACTTTGCGTTTGAAATATATTGCTTGCAATTGCATGAAGAAAATTATGATTTTTGTTTTGCATATTTTTCAGATTTGTTCATCCAAGTGGGTTCCCCAAAGAATTTTCAGTGGTCACAACGTTTAGAATGAGAGAAAATACCCCTAACATGGTATGGAATCTGTGGGAGATAACTGACAGATATGACAATGAGCAGTTCCGACTCCGACTGTATGGTGAGACCAATGCTATTGAGCTCTACAATGTGGCAGCAGTAGGAGAGGAGGTCACCACTTTTGAGAATGTGGGACAGCTATTTAACCAGGACTGGCACAAGCTCTCACTTAGTGCCACAAAAACCCAGCTGACTCTGTTTATTGATTGTCAGCAGGTTGGCACAGCTCCCATTCGACAATATGGATTCATTGGCACAGGTGGAGCTACTATTTTAGCTACAGGAGCAAGGAGCAATACTACACTTCCAGTAAGTATCTTTCATACTCCATTTGTTCATTTCACCTCTTAGCCACACAACTATACTTTTTCACTGCAGCGTAGGAGGTTGAGGGGTAACCTTGTAGACTTTTCTAAAATCATGAGGGGCATAGATAAGGTGAATAGCCAAGATCTCCACACGTTAGGGGAGTCCAAAACTAGAGGGTATAATTTTAAATTGAAAGGAGAATGATTTGAAAGGGACCTGAGGGGCAACATTTTCAGAGGATGATTCGTATGTGGAATGAACTGCCAGAGGAAGTGGTGGATACAGGTACAGTTACAACATTTAAAAGACACTTGGACAGGTACATGAATAGGAAATGTTTCAAGGGATATGGGCCAAATGCAGGCAAGTGGGAACTAGTATAGTTTGGGAAACTTTGTTGGCATGGACGAGTTGGATCGAATAGTCTGTTTCCGTGCAGTATGACTTTATAAGTTAACTATAGCCAAGATTGCATTTTTGAGGCCTATAAAATTGGGAAATTTTAAAAACATTGATATTTTCCAGTGTTCTATGATTATAAATCAAATATAATTTGGCAATTCTAAATATTCTAAGACATTCTATAATATTCTGTTCTGAAATGTGCAGATTCCTAGAATTGGTGTCCATGCTTACAATAATATGCACATTTGAAATTGCTGTCAGTGATTCTATACTCCTCTAGAAGATATGGTGTTGAATTGATAAGGGGACCTTCTAGTCTCTCTGCAAAAGCACTTGTAAAAGTCACACGTTATTTAAAGAAGGTTCTTAATGGCATACCCACCCCATGAATACTCCTAAATGCCCTCTCTCTTGCCTGGGATGAATAATTTTATATTTATGAAATGCCCGTGTTTTCCATTGTGATAAAATAATGCCCCATTTTCAAAATAATATTTTTGAAGTATGTTTATTTTTGATTTCGCTCATATCTTAATCCAGTCACAATTGTTTGTTTAACATCTGAAAGTTTTAATTAGAAATGAAGTTTAATGATGCTTTTAACTACCTTGTATGTTATTTGTGCATAGTTTGATGTGACTATTTCTTCTTGTTGACATCACTACTGATGCATCTCAAGACATTCTCTTGACTTAGCACCAGCTTAGACTTGCATTAGGAACAGGGAAATTCCTGCCACAGAGATTACAAAACCATTGTGATCAGCATTCCATAATTCATAAATGAGTGCATTTTGCTTTGCCACTGACTGCAAAATCTAAGTTAGCATTATACATTTGGACCAAAAAGATAAAACTGCTTATTTAATCAATGACCACACATACACTAGGTTAACCACACATTGTTAAAGTGCAGAAACTCAGCAATTCATCATTATAATTTGATACTTTGTGGCCCACTTTCAAACTCTGCACGAGTAAAAGGGTTTTGATTGAATTAAAATCAGGCTCAACAGTACTTTTAGGGTGGTGCAGGGGCTCAGTGGTTAGCACTTTTGCTTCACAAATGCCAGGAACCCAGGTTTGATTCCAGCCTTGGGCGACTGTCAGTGTGGCATTTGCATATTCCCCTGTATCTGTGTGGATTTCCTCTATGTGCTCCAGTTTCCTCCCACAATCCAAAGATGTGCAGGTTAGGTTTAGATTTAGATTTTATTGGCACGTGTATTGAGATCTCCCTTCTGTATTGGCCATGCTAAGTTGCACCATAGTGTCCACCTAGTGTGCAGGCTAGGTGTATTAACCATGGTAAATGAGGGGTTATGGGGATAGGGTAGGGGCTGCATCTGGATGGGATGCTGTTTGGAGGGTTAGTGTAGACTTGATTGGTCAATTGGCCACTTTCCGCACTGTAAGGATTCTATTTAGGCTTTAATTTTTCTTGCCCTAAATAATGAAGCAGATCATGGTTCAGATTGCAGTGACTGAATTCTTATTACATGTCCCTTTAAATTCACCTGGCATACATCTTCTATATCTCAGGTGGACGTACAACAATTCACAGTCTATAGAAACCCAAGTAAAGCGAGTGAGGTAACCTGCTGTGAATTGCCTGGTATTGTAAGTATGGATACTTTATTGCTTTGCTGTCAATGATGAAAAATGGCCACTTTCACTTCACTTTCTCGGAATCATTTCAGTTTATATATCGTCTGTCCTATCCCTATTTTGTTTCACTGATGGTTCCACTCTTTGCATCTATATTTCTCATTCAAGAGAGCAGGTGCCAAATTTATTTTCAAACCACTGTCAACTCCGCTATTCTTTGGCTTTCAAGAGGTGCGGATATAGGAGATAAGTGAAATCATCCTCGCGTACCACCCCACCAACCTCCGGATCCAACGCATCATCCTCCGACACTTCCGCCATCTGCAATCCGACCCCACCACCAAAGACATCTTTCCCTCCCCACCCTTATCTGCTTTCCGGAGGGACAACTCTCTCCGTGACTCCCTTGTCCGCTCCACACT